TGATGCTTCTTCTGCCAACTTGTTGCTTTTCACTTGCATATCTTCCAGTTTGTGAGAAATCAGACATATATCATCATCGGCGAAGTCCAGGTCCTCCAAGTTGTTTTTGTGTGAATCCATTTATGCCTGTTTCCTCATTGCCTGCTGTTTGTCGCATTATCCAATCTACTGCAATCAGGAAAATCATTGGTGATAGTGGGCAGCCAGCTTGTCTTACTCCTGTCCTCACTTCGAAGGATTCCGTAAGTTTCCCGTTGTGGATTACTTGGCATGCAGCATTGTCGTACAGCTGTTGGATGAGATGTATAGTTGTCGGTGGCACCCCGTAGTAGCAAAGTAGTTTCTTAATCACCTCTCAATCGACACTGTCTGCTGAAGGAATTTTCAAAGTCGATGAAGTTGAGATAGAGAGGTGACTGCCACTCCAAGCTCTGTTCAATGATGATCCGTAATGTGGCGATCTGATCGATGCATGACTTGTTTCTCCTGAATCCAGCCTGTTCCGGTCGAAGATTTTCATCCAGGGCTTGTTTGATTCTCTTCAGGATGATGTGGCTTAGTATTTTGCTTGGGATGGACAGGAGCATAATTCCGCGCCAGTTCTTGCATTGACTTAAGTCTCCTTTCTTTGGCAGTTTGACAATTCGTGGGAACATTCATTCTACACTTAGCTAAATTCTTATAATCCGATAACCTGACTAAGTCTTATCTACTAACTGACCTCACAGTCATTACAAAGTATTGTGTAAATTAACTTATTTTATCTAATTAACTAATCATATCCTTAAGTCTGTTAGAGTATCTGGTTGATACTGGCTAAAAACGGAATCCAAGACTCACGTTTCATGTTGATATCCAGTAGCTTAGTCGATATCTCCTGCAAGTTTGAAACGGTAGACGTTGGTTTTGAGACACACAGAGAACATCATCTGTCAATGCTGGTGAACAGTGAATAGTTTGTTTGTTCAAACTGGTCCCTATTTGGCGGGAGACAAGAAGGCTGTCATTGTTTAATCGTGTACTGGTTGGCAGAAGATAGAAGAAATGCGATCAGAAGTATTCCTGTATATTGGAATAACGTTTATTTACAGCCCCTGGCACTGCTTAATCATTGTAAATCTGTTTCGTTATCGGCGGAAGAATAAACAATCATGTGTTGGCCAATCATTTTCTGTTGTTCTGCGTCGGTTACAGTGTATAGTGTTCTGCATACCAAGCTTAGTTTTCTGAAACCAGCGATGGGTCCAGAATCCCTGCGAACTGGAAATTTGGCACATTCATCAACCTGAAACCAATCTGGAAATCTTCGTCACTCCTCAGCATCAACAACAAAATTCGGATTTTCAATATAAAAGTCAAGTCGGTTCTTCTATACGGATCAAAAACTTGGCGGGTCACGAAGAATATTTCCCACAGCCTGTTGCAGACCTTTATCAACAACTGTCTTCGCTCTATACTGAAGATCAGATGGCCAGAAAGAATCACCAACAAGAGACTATGGGAACAAACAAAACAAGAACCAGTCGCTCAACAAATATGCAGGAGAAGGTGGGGATGGATTGTACACTCGCTGAGAAGGCCGCTGGATAACATCACGCGTCAGGCCAACGCTCGAGTGGAACGCGAAAGGGAAGTGGCGAGTAGTGGGACGTCCAAGGGTGACATGGAGGAGATCGTGTGAAGAGGAGTTGAAACAGTATGGATTAACATGGATGCAAGTGAAAAGTACAGCAGAAGACAGAAGCAAGTAGAGACATGCAGTTGAATCCCTATGTTCCACTAGGAACCCAAGGGAACAATAATAATAATAACCTCTAGAATCATGACGAAATTTACCTTGAGTTCAGTTAAATCCTCACAACCGGAAAATTCAGAATAATTTCACTGCTCAAAGAGTGACTCATTAAGGGATAAGCTTTTTCAAATTCTAATAAGAAGGCATGAAAAGTATGGTATGCTATACTGGAAGTTAAGAAAGCAGCTAATTAGGGGCACCGGATGATTTTGGCATTAAATCAAGGGAATAAACGGAATCTGTGATTCATCAATCATCGGATTCTAATCGATGACCTGAATATCCTGAACTCAATCTCTCGATGCATAGCGTTAAAGAATCCTAAGCTCAGATGAAACAAATATCGAGTGTTCCATCGATTTCAAAATTCGATTTGTGATTAAGTCCGAGTAGACGTTTACCCTTGTAAATAACATAAATTCATATTGAAAGAAACCTAGTATTCTGTTAATAGATATTTAGGTATTAATTCATCTCATCTGTTATCTGCCTGTGAAGGCAGGCTTAGTTACATGTGTCTAACAAACCGAGCAGTAGCACTAAGTAGTACAACAAAAGACCTAAATGATGAAATGAAACAGATAGAAGAATGACAAGTTGGTGTTGAATAACTAACTATCCTATAAAATTTATTAGGAAGATCAGAAAAGGCCAAAAGTAAATTTTATAAATTATGGCGAAACTAATAAAGATAACACAAATCAGAAAGAACATAATACATCTGCAGTAGTTTTACCATTTAAGGAGGGGGACATCCGAGACTCTATGTAGTAGGATTCTTAATTAAGCAGGAATTAGAGTGGCATTCAATCCTACAAACTCACTCAGGTAGGACAAGCTCTGTAGGTTAAATAACCCTATAGGTTGACCCAACTAGACGAAATAATATAATTTACAAAATACCTAGCAACGACCATGAGCACGACATTTCACTGAATGCATTAACACACAACCGCATAACAGGGTGGGTGGGACAGAGCCGAAATTCTACGAGGTAATAAAGGTAGGTGGAGAGATAGATTGATTGCTGAATCCTGGTTCATCAAGTCTACACCCAACGGAAATACCAGAGATATGTAAGATATTATTACCAGTCATGTCAGAGAATAATAAATAGTATTAAAATGTATTTCATTTTACATAATGACATTCTAACAAGTTACTTATTTTGACTGTAAAAAACATCTTATTTGCCATCTGATTGTATTTGATTGATAACACTAACATTACTTCTGAATATACTTTATCTAATATTGATTTTATTCAAATGTCACAGTAAAGAAAGACCGCGTCTCGAAAAGACATCTTCTGTACCGAAAAAAGCTATCTTTATTAACCTACCATTCAAGGGTGACCAGATTATGCAGTTGACAGCTCAAAGACTTCGGTCAGCCATCAAACGCACATCCTACGCCGCACCTCACTTTCTCACTTGCCGAACATTTTGGGTCCCTGTGCCTACGATTAAAGGACGAAATTCTGTGGACTCTACTTCAAACTGTATCTACAAGTTCACCTGCAGCTGCGGTGACACCTATATAGGTAGAACCAACAGAATCTTCCAATGTCGTCGAAAAGATCATCTTCCAAAATGGCTACTAAGTCATATAGAAAATCACAATGCGATTAATCTGAATAGAAATCCATCATCATCCATCGCAAAACACTTATTAATGTCAGGTCATGAAATCAATATTAATGACTGTTTCACAATTATTTCACATAACTCTAATTCAAGGTTATTGAAGGTAATGGAAGCACTTTGGATTAATCACATACAGCCTTAACTGTGTGTACAAAAATCAATAGACTTCAATCTTCGCCTACCCTGGACTACTTGACCTATCTAAATATGATTGGTCATTAGTATGTACTTATGTGCTTTGTATTTAACTGAGTAATTGTCATGAACTTTATTTTATTATTGTTAACCATGTTAGTTGTAAAGCGGTTGTAAAGAAACTACGAAATGATATCACCTCGCGAAATTTGTCTTCTTAATGCCTTATTCAAATGTCAAATGATCAATTTGAACTCATGTACATGGATGAAGCAAGAAATTTGGGTGAGTGACTACCTTGATATGATTATGAGCAGCAATAATTTATGCTCAAAACATGGTCATCAGTAAATATTGCTGTACTACAACACTGGGTGATTTATAAAAATAAAATCTTATCCTTAAAGGAGTTACACTCTAACACCACAGTGCCCAAGTTTTACACTTACATCAAGAAACCTCTCCGTCGCTCTCTTTCTCTCTCTCGCAGCCTCTGTTTATTTGTCTATCTTATTATGCGCTTGTACTAACACCGGTAATGACAACAAAAACAACCTATCATCACAAAATCAAGAGGAAAAGAACTTGACTCTACTAGAGCTTGTTATTATATTCAAGTAAAAAAGAAAACAAAGTCAATATAGCATAGTGTTACAATGTGCAGTAAATAAAGTTTCTGTGCAAATATATATATATATAATCTTGGTACAAGTTTTTTTTCACTGTTTTCAACTTGATCTCAATCAAATGAGAGATCTGAAGGAAGCAAGGGACAAAAAAGTGGAGGCGAGATCATTCACACCGAAAAAAGAACACGAAAGTACAAAGAATAAGAAAGACTCTTCGAAGAGAAAGAGAAGAATTGATGAAATGGGCAACCTTCTTGAAAACAAAATGACCAAAAAGAAAAGAAAATTGATCAACCCGCATAAATAAAATCCTATATGTATGTATACTCACTGTCAATACGAGTGATTACGCAACTAAATAATAGTAATGATAATAATAATTAAAATAATTAGAAAGAGCTTATGTGGCTGATTTTGACCATAATAGCTAATAGTTAGTTATCTTCGTAAAATTATCCTCCATAAAACATACTACTCATTATCCCGAATAATAAGTAGTACACTTGTAGTAAGGATAAAAATTAGAAAACGTACTACCATAGCTATTGAATTTTATTGTATTAATGTTTACAAAAAAGCTAAATATATCTCCAGTAGAAAAAAAATTGAAGGAGAGCTGATTGCATGAAAGACTTGATATAACAAAAATAATAATAATAATTTGAACCACAGGAAGCTTAATATATTGGGAGGCGTATTGATTTTCTGAGAATATCCGCTCACTCTGCATTCAAGTAGGCATCTATGATGGGCAGAATAAGGAGGCACTTCAGTATTTAATCTATTCCAGTATACGTTAGTGTTGTCTCACTGGAATCCTTGAAGTGGAATAAGATCTTGTCGATACAGGGATCAATGATCCACGTCTTGATTGGCTCTCCATAGAAATGATTTGACCATTGTGATCTTTGTTGCTGTTGTCACTATATCGACCAGCATTAGTCATTAAATGATGCCTTCTGTTCATCATCATATCATCAACATTGTCAAATCTATCATAGTTTTCATTCTCCTCTGAATTATAAACAATTTGTACTGGTTTATAATCAGATTGAGGATCGATGTGTTTGGTTGATGTGGAACTGGACACTGCCTTACCGGTTTTTGATGCTCGACTAGGCGGTGGTGTTTTAGGACTGAAAACACTACTGAATTTGCCTCGTTTTGTTTGACTTTTACTCTGATTACTACTACCAGCGGTATTATTATTACTATTAGATACTTTTGAGTTTTGTAGGGCAGATTTCTTCCCCTTCACAGGATAATCAGCTGTAATCAGTGTGCTTCTCGTCGGTGCTGAATACTTTCTTGAAGTAGCCGATGACTGGTGTAATCCACCGTAAGGATGAGGATGACTTTTATGCAACTCATCATCGATAGTATCCGTTATTGTTAATACAGAGACTTGTTCAAGTGGTTTTGAGCTTCGACGGTTTGTGGATTGTTTCGGGATCATTGTATTTAATGAGGTTAGAGATTTAGAAAAATCTTGACTTATAAGTGCATCGCTCACGCCTCTTTGTACAGGATAAAAATCATGACTGCTATCAGTATTATTAGTCCACATTCGTGGACTGTGTATGTAATAAGCGTCTTTTGGTGAATATGATCTATTTGCATAATTCGTCTTCTGCTGCTCCCGCTCCCGCTCCTCATCCGCCTTCTGTTCCCGCATTGCTGAAGGTCTTATAATTGTAATGCCAAACTTTTGTTTCAGCGGTGTGCTAGTACACAGTTTTTCGCTCGATGAATGAAGGTTATTCGAACTTTTAGCTTGATTCATATGCCATATCGATTGTATGTCATTCATATTTGCTCTGTCTGCATTTCTCATCCGAATGTTGTCTCTAGTGTAGACATCACCATTATCATCATCTTCATCAGGAGGAGTAGATTTTTTATTATTGTCGACATTATTATTATTATGCGTAAATCCACCGGTGATTTTATATCGAGGTAGATGTGATGAACAACTGACTTCATCATCGTTCAGCGTGGCTAGATTGATCTCTGAGAAGAACTTGTAAGAATAAGGGAGAGAAAAAGAAGAACAGAGAAGAATTATTGATTCCAGTTTAAAATTATTGAATTAATAAATAAGTGCACACTGGGCTGACTAGCTGACTGACTGGTTTCAACATACGGCTTTGCACCAATGTGCAACAGATCGAGTTGCCACACTCCCTCCTTGTAGCACACAAAGCAAGAGAAGAGAGTAAAACAAGATTCAAAACAGAGATACGAGGCGAAAATAATGATATAGAATAACAATACAGTTCTTAAATTAACTGTTGTGGATTTATTTCATTGACTGATGAAGCCATGTTTTGGTTCGACCACCACTACCTAACTCTTTTCCAACCTGATCCATCCTATGTAAGTCAGCTACCATTGCCCGTTGTCGAGGAAGACAACGGCTACGCTAGCATGCGTAACACATGCCCTAGCCATCTCAGTCGATGTAACTTCACAGCCTTGTCGATTGATTATCCCTGTCTCCTTACCTAGCACTTGACCAATGCCTAACCTCAATATTGCTTACCCTATTATACCACTTCACACGGGAGACAGAACGCAGACACCTATGATCAAAGACAGCTAGCTGGTCTTATCATTTCCAGGTCTCAATCACAGCCAAGCAAGAGGCTCTTCTCGAAGTAGATGAAGACACCTAGTAGATTGTAATCCGTTTCACTTGGTGATGTAGAAAGAAACGCAACCAACAAGCCACTTAAGCTCATAGTTGATCTCCAAACTGTCTGTAATGGTGTTAACCGACATCGAGAAACTGAAACATGATGGTTTTTCAATCCTTTGTGTCCCGGGAGGAACACTAGGCTTTGGCTTTGAAGTTACATTATTGGTACTGGTGTTTCTACGAGGTGGGGTTGCTAGCCTTTTGCCTGATTTTATCTCTTTACTGAGGTTTAGGAGTGTATCAGCTGCAAATCAAACCCTAATCACCTGCGCCGTCAGCGAGTATTCTATTACCTAGACACCAACATGATACTATACGGATCAGAGACTTGGCGCGTCATAAAGACCACTTCAAACAAACTACAGACCTTCATTAACAGTTGGCTCCGCTCAATACTCAAGATCAGATGGCCGGCCAGAAAAGATCAAAACAGGGATCTCTGGCAATGAGCGAATCAACCCAGCAGGAACCGATTGTGAAACAAATAGGCTGAAAGAAATGGAGATGGATTGGTCATACTCTGAAGAAACCATCAAGTGACATCACTAGACAAGCCATTGCTCGAGTGGAACCCGAAAGGGAAGCGGCGAGTTGGTCGTCAGTGCGAGGGTGACTTGGAGGAGATCATGTGAAGAGGAGATGAAAGCGTGTGGACAGACTTGGAGCCAGGTGAAGACTCTAGCAGAGAATCGAACGCAATGGAGACGTGCACGGCTGAAGCCCTATGTTCCTCTAGGAACTAAAGGAAACAATAATAATATCCATCATTCTTTTTAGACTGAAAGGTCTACCAAAATATGAATTATTCCATGTAGTATAGTCTATCCTACCTCAGACATTATTGACTACATCTCAGTTTGTCCGCAGACTTTCCATGATTACTTACTTTTGATTTACTCAGAATTCCTGTCTCCTTTTTCGGTGTAGAATAATCCATTGTACACTTTTTATATTCATTACGATATTCACTGTTATGCCTTCCAGGCGTCAGTTGACGTTTTTCTATTTGACGTTCAGAGGTATTATTGTTGTTCTCTCCTTGTAATGCTGATGTTCGCTTCTTTACAGCATTGAGTCGGCCTTCAACGAAATCTTTATTCAGCTCACCATTTGAAAGATATTTTCCCATGTATTTTGAATCTTTGACTGCTTTGATCAAATTATTCTTGTCTTTTGTATCGACTTGAGGACAATTGCCATTTTGATTAGATGGTAGAATTTTGGAGGATGTAACTTTTCGGAGGAGAAACAAAGGACGAAAAAAATGTGGATATCATTAATTGTGAGCACTATTTCTTTAAACAATGACAGAATTTATATATTCTAGTATTATTTATACACAAATATACACAAATAATGAAAAGTTGTACGTCGGTGGCACATTGGTAGGATGCTAGCCTAACACGCAGGTGGTCCGGGGTTCTATCTCGGCTCGGCGCACTCCTTTACTCTGCTAAGACAGTGACAAGACTGGTAAACAGGCAAGGTTGGGCCTATTTTCCACTGGGAACGTTCAGGCACAAAAAAATATGAAGTCATGTCCCCTCCCCTACTATAACACGGTGAACTGGGTGTCCATTGATACTCTTAGAAAGAATGTTACTCAATAGTATTAAAAGGAATACAGTTAGGTGGAGTTACAGAAAGGTTAACCACTGAGTCTTTGTTAATTGGTGATTCAACACCGCACATGTGCACTCCAAACGCCTATACTTGAGAAATGGAAAGTGGCAACAAACACTACAGAATGATGCTCGCGGAGGCTCTTGGAAGTGTGTGGGTGGTTGTTACTTCCCGCCTGCCCACACCGTGGAAGTTGATTGATTCTTCAGGTACCTCAAAAACAGAAAGAAGGTTAGTGTTGCGCAACCACAGAGCTCAGGGGACAGCTGCTTGAGGCCGGTCACACACACCCTGTATGAACTGGTTTCTTAATTTGGTTCCGTATTAGTAAAATTACCGCCGGTTACGGACCACCGTAGGGTAAGTCGGGATGTACAATTTTAGGGGTCGACCTTTTCTAACCCCGTCTCTCCAGAGTGGAGGGATAGCATAGCTGGCATGCTGGTCATCTGAGGGAAACATTTTACTGCTATTATATCTCTGTTCCCCAGTTGTACAACTTCGCCCGTAGACGCCAGTAACTACTTTTAGACTAATCGCTATCCTAACAACCTTCCTGGCATGGTAGGACCTGCAGGAACAATAGTTCCGGCCAGTGAAGCTTGTTGGATCATTGCGATATGCAAGCCCGACCACCACGTCAAGGTAGCAGCTATCGGTCAATCAACAAACAATAAGGGGAGAACGGAAAGAGAGAAATGCAGAGAAATGTGTAGGACAAATTTTGAACCCATGTGACTAAATTTAAATGATAATGAGTGGCAATAATTTATGCTGGAAACCTTGTCATCCAGTTGTTAATAATTCATCACTGTGTGATATTTAAAATAAATTAATCTAATTTGGACACACAATTCCACATGGTTGACGATGAGCCATTCCTCTTTTACTCCTGAAACCTTGACAAGCGAAGCGGGACTCTTACCCGTCAGCCTACGGTTGGAAGTCAGATGCTTGACCTGTGAGACGTTTTTTCTCTTCCTTCATGTTCCCAGTGAAACATAGGGCTTCAAGCTAGAGGCTTGAAGTTTCCGTAGCAGCGGTATTAATTTTTACGGGATGGGGTTGCTAGCCTCACCAGTCTTATAACTGGCTTAGTGAGGTAGAGGAGTGCATCGACTGGGGATCGAACCCTGAACCACCTGCGTGGTTGTCGAGTACTCTACTGCCGTGCCACTGACACCTTACATTCGTACGTTATATCGTAAAACAGTGAAAGTGAGAACTTATGCATCACTATATCCCAACTCGTTGATCGAATAGTAGACAGGCCAGCGTAGCAACACGTTAGTCGTGGGTGTACACTGATGAGAAGTGCTAAATTGGGAGGAAATAACCGTCCAGTTATCCCAGGTTTTCAGTGATTCTTCAACTGACGTCAATTCATGATGCGATTAGCATTCAAATTACTCATTGAAAGATGTGAATTCTTCTGCTCTTTAAAGGTAGAAAATTGTGAAAATTAGGGTTGTTAGGCTTAAATTCACCAGGGAAATTGACATCTGATATACTGGACTATGAACGACACTTTTATGTGAGAGCGGAAAAGGGGCTAACCAGTTTACCAGGTTTAAGTACGTGGAGAGGAATTCAGATGAGGGACTCATTGTCTGAACGTCAAATGCCGAAGCTATAGATGCATGTCTGACGCTGCAAATGTTCTCGCTAAGATTTCTCCTTCAAAATATGGGGACTATTTATGAGTGATTTCAATTGATTTCATTTTATTCATTTGGTAACAAAACGAAACCTAAAGTACTGACAGATTATAATTTTGAAAATATCATAAACGTGTAGTCATTCAAGAAACTGAAATTCAAAATATCACAAATTTACATGCAAAATCTATCATGTCGTATCTAGTGACAGCCATTATGCTAAACAATTTGAAAGAATCTGCAACAGTGAATGCACCTTTTGGTGATTTCTCTAGATTTTTAATGTTTTTTAATTGTCTACTAATTTATTTTTCAGTAGCTAAAGTCGCAAGCAAAAAATTACAATTTCTTATAATCCAAGAAAAGCAAAATAAGGTACGAGTGGTTCTGCTGAAATAGGTGTGGCTTACACAAAAAATTCCAAGAAAGTCTTCTTTTAATTTTCTGAATACGCTAGAATTATTTTAAGGAATTGTATATTGACTGAGTCTGACTTGGCGCTCACATAATTCTAGGAAAATCGAGAAGCCAATGTTCCTGATATTCATAAACTTAAACGCGAAAATGCTGTCTGCGTTTGATTTGATAGGCTGCATTTAACAAGAAAAGTCTTTAAATCAGATTATTCCGAAATCCACCCTATACCAGCTGCATAGGGATTGAAAATATTCCTCTACTGCTATACATCTAAGAAAGACGATTTCAGCTGTAAACTCTAGTTCTAATCAGTTGGATGATTTCATCATAACCTGACATCAGTAAGAGAATCAGCGGGAATCCTGGAAGTACTGAACAACTGTTTCGTCCAGATGTGGGACTTTTCATCAGCACGTACCTATCAGGTTTCGAATCGAGGACCCTCTGGTTACAAGGCGACCTCGTTGACAATTAAGCCACTAGGACCCGAACCCCAGCGGGCGCGTACTGATGAAGAGTCCCAAACTAGGATGAAACAGCTGTCCAGCACTCCCATGCTCCAACTTGTTTTCTAACTGATGTCAGATCATAATGAAATCCTCCAACCAATCAAACAAACGAAAGGCCTACGAAAAAAGCCATACTTTTAAATCCGGTTTTGATCCTCTTTCAATAAAGATTTCCGCCCTTCAGTTGCAACAGTCAGCTCTCCACATTAGACCTTTTGTTATTACTCTGCAGATTTACTGACAATGAATGAATTCCTTTTAAGAAGCGGTCAATAGATTAACCGCAGATTTCTTTTCATTGTGACCTTACTGTACTGAAACTAAGAGTTCAATGTAGACCCGATAAAAAATGAAAATGAAGTTCTAATTTAAACACATGGTTTTCTTGAAGAAACTTCGATTTATTAGATATGTCATGTACTAAAATGATTAAAATTTTTATCTTCGGTTTAGTTTGCTTATCTAGTTGTTTCTTGGAATTGAAAAGCCTTTAATGGGGTGTAATTGTATACTCAGAGTTTCGCGGTTTGACTGCATAGCTTTGACTGTTCCCTTAGACAACATCTGCATCAATGAATTCAGTGTGAAGTGGACTTATTTGAATTCTCCATGAATGGTGATATTGTCTGTTCTGACAACCTTTGTCGTGATTAGTTTTTGATTTTTAATCAGTTTCATTAACTTGGAAGATTTGACTCTTTGTCATGTGGCTTATTCTCTATTAGTTGTATCTGATGTTCACAGAATTATCTGTGCACCAGACATCTGAGAATCCTCTAGCATTTGAAATTTGTATATTTTGCCAGTTAAATTCACACTAAGGTGAAGGCTGAAGATATTGGTGCATAGGGCTCCAAGCCTTAGCTTTGAGGTTTCAGTAGCAGTGGAGTTGCTCGCCTCACATCCAACCTTCCCATTTTACCAGACTTATTTTAATTTATTTATATATTATTCCCTTGCTTTCCGAGAGGAACATCATAGGGCTTCAGCAACACATCTCCACTTTGTTCTGTTTTCTACCGTCCTCTTCAGCTAACTGGTTACACGATTGACCAAACCCTCTCATCTCTTCCCCACACGACCTCCTAAATGTCACGCTAAGACGACCAACTCGTCTCTTCCTGTCTGGATTCCACTCGAGCAACGGCCTGGCGTGCGATGTCATTCGGCGGACTCCTCAATTTATACCCTATCCATCTCCATTTTCTCCAACATATTTGTTGAGTAATCGGCCATTGGTTGGCCTGTTCCCATAGTTTCTCATTGCTTATTCTTTCTGATCATTTGATCTTCAGTATGTAGCCAGCAAAGGTGTTAACTGTTGATGAAATTCTTTAACGGGCTGGAGGAAATCCTTTCCGTGACATGCAGTGCACGTTTCTGACTTGAATAGAATGACCGACTTGACATTTGTGTTAAGTGTAGAAGATTTCCAAATTGGTTTCCGGTTGATGAAGGCGTATCTTGCCTTTCCGATTCTGACTGGCTTTGACATCTTCGTCCATTCCACTGGCCTGTAGTTGAAACGGCGCTTCTTAGATAAACGAGGGAAGTAACCTCTGTCAAATCTCCCCATCGATAATGATTGGTGCTGGTTGATTTTGCAGTTGATTGGTTATCTTTCTCACCTCAGTCTTCTCTATGTTCACTTGGAGTCCTGTCTTCACCGGCTACTTCTTCAGCCAATCTGTTGTTTTTTGCTTGCAAGTCTTCAAATGTGTGTGTGACATTAGACATATATGATTCAAGAGCGAAATCAAGATCTTCTATAGTCTTCTTATCATTGACCAGCGTATTCCTGACTCCTCATCCTCAACAGACTTACCAAACTGAATGCCAGCTAAGTGATGTTCAGGAGTTCGTCGACTGCGGATCGAATCCCAAACCAAATTTGTAATTGATGAGCAGTCTATCACTCAACCACCGACACGAAATAAACCTCTAACCCAATAACCTATCAGTAGTATAGATGACTTTGTTAGTACAATTGTAAAAATTTAGCCATAAACGAATTCTAACTAACAGCTTACCCATCAGCTAACTTCACTTCATTTTAAGTGTCTCAATACTTTATACTAAGTTGATTAAATTTGGCTACATTTAAAGTAGGCAAAAGTAAGTAAAACGTAGAATATATCTACAAACACCATCAATCTGTTTGATACACATTCCGTACTAATGTTCAATTAAAGAGTGAATGAACTATGTACCATTCAACATTGCATTTTTTTCAATAGTTAAGTAATCCTGTTTTTTCTTACATAAAAGTGAACCGATTTAACATGAATCATTAGCAGAAAATAAAATTTAGACTTTGATCAGGTATTCAGGGTGTATTAATATATATTTATTAAAAATTGTCATTCTGAATTAAAATGAAAACGTTTTGCAAAAGAATGGACCTTGAACAAAGAATACTCTTTTCGATAACGCCTTCATCATCAGGTTCTACAGTTATATTTCCAGGCATATTAGTGAATAAATTAGTGTTATGAACAACATTAAGGTTGTTTAAATAATACCGAAACAATAATAATATCATTGGACTACAGTTCAATAGCATCAACATAAAAATACACACTGAATATCTGAAATATTAGGAAAGATAATAATACAAATTCATGAATTTATAGTCTCTACTGAAGGCCGGCCAGAGCAGTAGAAGTGGGTGGACTTGTTTCTTTTGCACACAGAGTACCCGTTGTTTCATCCGAATCGCTATAACCTTCGCTGTTTCGAGTGTGCGGTACCTGGATGTTTTCGGCAATTTTTTAGACACCCGGTAGATTATAGAGAAGGATTTTTCTATGTTGGCTTTGTGGCCGGTTTGCACCAGATGGTCCATTATTGAACTGTCAATGGTTTTAACTACACCTTTACTTAGCCATAGTGGGTTATGTTCTCGAGCACGAAAAATCAAGTTCCCAGAGGAACAGCCACTATAACCCACTCCATGACGAGCACAGTTGAATTGGTAGATAAAATTAGAAGTGACTAGTCTGGGTACTTCATCTTTCAGTCGAGGAATGACCATCGATCGTGTAGAGAATGAGACGTGTAGTTCGCCAGCATTAAACTTTCTTTGAACTAATTTCCTTCATTTCGTCGTAATTATGTCGCTTGGTATATCATTCTTGAATTGCAGTCGTATATAAAGTGGCTTCTTGTTTACAGATATCGAGTAGTCCTTTTCCGCCTTCTTTATCATGTGTTTCTTGATAAATTTTTCGGGATGGCTATTTTTGATCAAAGTATCATATACAATCTTAATTCATCCTCAATTACTTCTTCTGAGTATATAGCTCTAACTCTGTGGCTGAGGGTCTTCACTAAATTTCTTTTGTACTTGAGAGGAACGAAGATGTGAAAATGTGTATATTATCCTGTTCAAGTACTTTTTCTATTCAAATGAAGGGCGATACACCAAGTGAAATAATTACGAAGAAATTAAGAAAATCAGTTCAAAGAACTTTTAATGTTGGCAAATTACACGTCTTATTCTCTACATGACCGATAGCGATTCCTCGACTGAAAGATGAAGTACACAGACTAGCTACCCACTTCAAATTGTATCTACCAATTCAACTTGGCTCGTCGTGGAGCGAGTTATATCGGCCGTTGCTCTAAGAAGCTGATTTTTCATGCACACTCGGGAACACCTACTAGTGTGGCTAAGTAAAGGTGTAGTTAAAACCATCATCAACAGTTCAATATGAGGCCACCTGGTCCAAACAGGCCACAAAGCCAGCATTGAAGAATCCTTCTCTTTCATCATCTACCGGGTGCCTAACAAATTGCCAAAAACATCAAAGCACCGCATGCTCCAAACAGCAAAGGCTATTGCAATTCGCCTAAAACAACCAGTGCTTTGTTTGCAAAAGAAGCAAGTTCAGGCACTTCTACTGCCCTGGCCGGCCTTCAGTAAAGACTATAAATTCATGAATTTGTAATATTATCTCTCCTAATTTTTCTGACATTCAGTTTCTTGTTATGTTGATGCTACTGAACTGTAATCCTTTGGTATTATTATTATTGATTCGATGTTATTTAAACAACATTAATGTTGTTCATAGCACTAATTCATTCATTCACTATTGCGTATATATAGTTTCGGAACCTGATGATGAAGGAGTTATCGAGAAGAGGATTCTTTGTTCATTATCCATTCTCTTGAAAATTTTAATGGGCAGTTTTCATCAGTGAAAATGTTTTTGATTTTTTCTAAGTCAGCTCATGTATAAAAGAAAAGGCTTTTAGCAAAGAGTTACTGCCCTTTTCAGCGATATTATTCTCAAAATGTACAACTGTATATCTGTAGTAAATTATCTTGGCAACAAAAAGGATTTTCAAGAGTTAATTTGTAAGCATATGATTTCTTTTTCAAATTTGACCACAGATTGATATCAGTTATAGAACTATTAAAAACCATTACTAGAGTGTAGGACAGCTGTTTCATCCAAGTTTGAGAATCATCAGCAGTATGAATTAGTAGAAGTTAGAATTCATGGGCTCGCTATCGAATCGGATCCCAGTGGCTGAATGGTATACGAGCTTCCCTTGTAACTGGAGGGTCCTGGGCTCGAACCCCTGTGGTGGGTATGCACTGCCGGTGATTCCTAAGCTAGGACGAAACATCTGGCTGCTCAATACTCCAGAACTGGTTTTCAATGGTTCTCTAACTGATATCGATCCATGGTCAAACTGGGAAAGCGAAATGATTATTTAAAATAATTAGCTCCCTTTATGAATTTAGACAAAGCAATAAGAAGACGTAATTCGTCTGAATCGTGTAACGTATAATTTACACAACACATTTCGCACAATTTGATTACACACGGACTCGTCATAGGATTGTATATATATATAAGATTGATACACAGTGAAGAGGTGAGAAAACAGACGAGTTAGATCAAGTTAAAAGGACATGTTGAAGGTCAAAATAACAATGTAGATCACAAAACTAAATAAGAGGTGTAATAGTACATCTGGTATGGTATCAGAACAAAGTTTGAACAAGGAAGGTGGTTTAGTGTGATAACGAATTGTTGCTTTGAACGCATAAAAGTGGTTTAAACTTTCTAACTGCTAGGGCTTCGAAAACCTCTAGGATACGCCAGAAACACGTTTTATGGATATGTTTAAAAGATGTGTAAACGTCAGTTTTATGTCCTGTCACTATAATATTTTGCGCTATAGAAGAGCTAGGTCTCCTGTTCTCATCATTATCGGGTCTTGAAGATTCCATTTGTTTTTAGAGCGATTTAGGAATATGCTCTGAAGCCCTTACTTGCAGAGATCGATGAGTCCTCCCTATGTATGTGTGTCCACACGTACATTCAAATTAGTAAATACAGTGGGATGTGACATCATTTTTCGCATTTTCAAAGGGTTTAGATGGATATGTTGGCTTCACATTCCGAATAATTATGATATTAGACGGATAAAAGGTCTTTTTAACAGCCGTATTAAACCGTTGTCGAGTTACTGAGCTGCTGCTATTACCCATATATGGTAGCTTGTTGTACACGTTTTTCTTAGCAGTGAGCTGGTGAGTGGGTCTTAGTATTCTGACCGCTTTACATCTCCTATTGAACTTATCCGGATAACTATTATCAACCAGAGTTTGTGTCAACTTTCTTTCTTCATCATAAAATGTGTCTTTAGTCCATACTCGATGAATTATACTGAAGAGCCACCTCACTGAGGCTGTCCTATAACGAATAGGGCAGAAACCGTGCAGTAATACAATTAAGAAACAAAAAACAAAAATTACGTATTTGGTGTTAAGAGAGATCAGGTCCATTATAGATTTAATGACTGAACAAACTTCTTTTGTATTCAGAGTTCACGATTTAACATATGAATCACCATTTCTTCTGCAAGGTTCCCATTCATGTACATTACTTATTGTTTTGAAGTCTCTGCACGGAGATGAGGGGTATTTTATCAAGGAATGAGATTGCCATTCTTATGCCCAATCTTCTCTCTTTTATAGACGACGGGCTAGTTAAGCAGGCAATTTCAACAGACCACTAACCTCCATCAGACGATACCCAACACCCACTATGCCAAACACTAAATAGTAACCCAATAGGACACTGGGATACAAAAGCCACCTATTATGCCATGGACTGCAGGCATATCCTTGCTGACCATTTCGAAGGATAAAGGATAAAATTGTTGTTTTAGCTTCAGCCACATGATTTAAAATGTGTGAACAGTTAAAAATAACATTTCCAAACACTTCTTAATGAAATGCTTAAGATTATTAAATCATATCAAGATAAACTCACCTGGATTCACTTTACGACATTCATCGTATTTAGAAAGGAAATGACTCAGTGTATCCCAACCACCACCGACTCTCACCATAACATGATTTCTTAAAATCTAAATTAGAATGAAAAGTAAAATAATGGAAAACGGTGAATACTCAAATTTATAAATGGTGAACTTTACAATTTTGAGACAAAATAAATTCGTCATAGTTTCCAATAGAAACCGAAAATATTCAGATCAAGGTAGGTGATCTTCTAACCAGGACTCAGGTGGTTTTATCTGATTCTGTTTTTTGAGTAGCAAACACCGCTAGTGAGGCAGTCTGCAAACAAGTAAAATGACTGTTCAGTGTGTAAACCACATCAAACTAGTTAGCAAGCACTACTACCAATATTAATCAGTATTACATACTGTCAATGAACTATGAAGTACATTGTTAACGTTTTTACGAGTTGATCATGGATTGATATCAGTTAGAGAAAAATTGAAAACCAGGCAGTACTTGACAGCCAACTGTTTCATCCTAGTCTGGAAATCATCGGCAGTACGCACCCACTTGGATTCGATGATTCCCAAACTAGGATGAAACAGCAGCTGTCCAGTACTCCCTGGTTTTCAATTTTTCTCTAACTGAAATCAATCCGTGATCAACTCGTAAAAACAAAACTAACCCTTACAAACCAAACTATAGAAAATTAATCTGATGCTCGCTAGTGGCTTGCTACAGGATGGAGTTTCCTGGAGTTCTAGTGAGAAGTCGTGACCAGTGAGGTCCGACCAGATGTCACGTGTGTGGATGGACGTTTCACCAACAGCAATGGTTGGGGTTGCGCTAAATCACGAATTGGTGGAAGTTAGAATTCATGAGCCATTGAATCGGGTCCCACTGGCTGAACGGTATACGAGCTTGCCTTGTAACCGGAAGGTCTTGGTTTTTAACCCTAGTGGTGAGTGCCTACTGCCGATGACTCCCAAACTAGGATGAAACAGCAGCTGTCCAATGGTTAAATGGTTCTCTAACTGATATCAATCCGTGATCAACTCGTAGAAACATAACTAACCCTTACAAACCAAACTATAGAAAACATTATTAACCATTACACAGCTAATACGCTTGCTTAGTAGCTTTTTAAAACATATTTTTTAGCAACGAACTCATAAACGTTTTATGAAGAATCCCTACACAGACATTAATGAAAAAAAAATGCGTAGTTCAGCGAAGAGACTTTTTCCGGTGAATTCATTTTTATCCTTTGCTGTACAGTCGTATTTATAAACAATTTCCTCCACGAAAGAGACTAGTAGCAAAAGTTGAAAGTTTTCATAATCAGAACTGTTAACATCGATCAGTGTATAATAGCAGTCGACCAATTGTAAGATGAATACAGGATTTATATCATGAGCTGACATTGGTTAGAGAACCATTGGAAAACCAGCTGGGAGTACTGGACAGCTGTTTCGTCACAGTTTAGGAGTCTTCAGCGGTAGGCTCTCACCGACACGGTTAGAACCCAGGACCTTCTGGTTACAAGGCCAGCGATCTCTTAGACCATTAAGCCACTGTAACCCTATCCGACGTCGAGTGTATGAATTCTGAATTCTGCCGACTCACGACATAGCGCGACCGCTAGCCAATGTCTTCGGTGAGTATTTCTGCTTACACCCAACCTGCTGTACCCTACTGGTCACGAATTCTCACTAGAACACCAGGCAGCTACCTACCTGGATAGGACAAGTCGTGTCCAGTAAGGTGCAGCAGGTCGGGTGTGAGGACAAATATTCGCCGAAGACACTGGCTAGCGGTCGCGCTATGTTGTGAGTCGGAAGAATTTGGAATTCATACACTGGACGTCGAATTGGGTCCCAGTGGCTTAATCGTGTGCGAGATCGCCTTGTAACTAAGAAGCCCCGGGTTCGAACCCTGTTTGTGGGTGCGCACTGATGGAGAGTCTCAAACTAGGGCGAAACAGCCGTTGAGTACTGCAAGTTGGTTTTCCAATGGTTCTCTAATTGCTGTCAGCTCATGATGAAATCCTGTAACGAATCAAATCCCTACAAACCAACACTTGAATAAGTGTAAGATAAATAGTTTGCTGAATGAGTTTTAATCAGTATGAGCGTAGAAACGAAGGAAAATATGGAATTATGTGAACGTTTTAAAGTAATACAAAAGTTATTAGGGAGTTAGAAAACAAACAATAAAACTTCAAGTCAGTAGAAGTCAACACTATTGTTGCCATGACAGTAGAATTGGTTGGATGATTTTCTTTTGCGTGGAGAGCTCCGGTTCCCCTAACTGAATGGCTAATGCCTCAGCAAAGCAAAAGAGAAGAAAGCGTATTTCAGAGGGGGCGTTCGCTGAGACGGAATAACCAGTGTTGAAGAGATGATCGATTACCTCACTCTTTATACAACCACTATTACCTTTTTGCAAGCAAGCGGGGATAGTGTTCTCGAACCCTACGTAGGCTGGCAGTGGAGTATGCTTTGCTGAGAGATTTCGAAAGGCATCTACGGAGAAGTCCTACTTCAGTATCACTTTTAAATTCGAGGTTAAGTACCAGCACCTTTTTGGGGAAGACTTCGGCCTTTCCAGACTTTATCTTTGTTTTCGATTCTTGTCCATGTATCTGGGTGGGAACCGATCTTATATCAAGGTCCCTCATATTCTCTAGTTGAAGAACCAGAATATTCATAAATATTTCAGAATGAAATACAAAGTTTGGATTTTGTAGGGAAAGCACTCAAAACGTTTTTCGTCCAAGTTTGGGCATTTCAGCTGTACGCACCCGTCACCACCAGAAATCAAAACCAGGATATATAGGCCTCAAGAGTCTGTTAACAGTTAAGCCACTGGGCTGGAAATCAATGACCCATGATATCTAAATTGTGTCAATTAGCAATATGTATAGCTACAGCGATGCGGCAGAGAAGTACCTATTCCATCCTGGAATGGTGTGCTCACTGGCTACAACTTCATGTTGGAACTTCAGAATATGTATTCTGAAGCCACTGGTGGACAGAAAAATGGCATTTAGTTTTCGACCTTTGCAGGGATTTGGATTAGTTTTAAGGTAGATTAGGTTACTTAGAGATGGCTACATGCCAAACGAGATCGACTCTTAAAACAGGTCGTTCGCTGAAGTCCTGTGATTCCAATTATTTACAGTGAACACGTCAACCTACTTAATTCATTTAAGTAGTTAACCAAGTTAAACTGCAATATTTTAAAAATATTAATGTTAGAAATATTTTTGAGAATATACTTGAATTGGGACACTGACAGACTCTACTCAACTGAAGTTCCATCTTCTTGAATTTCTTACTACTAAATGAAAGAAATGTTTGCAAGTGTGTGTGTATGACTGTCAAGTTATTGTGTTAAATAAACTCAAAAATGTCTTTGTTTCAATGTTAATTGAATGTGTGTAGGTGTGCTTTAGTGGTTCACAGATTGAGAAAGTGATATTGATGAGTATAGCTCATACAGAATGCACTCATATTATTGTATTTATTCGTGTGTTACTTCTCATTGACACATTCATTTTATTATTATTATTATTAAGTGGTAATGATTGCGAAGAAATATGATACTTCACTATTCTACATGTTAAAAGCAGAATTAGTACACATGAATGTTACAAACAAAAAATATTCGATCGAATTAAAGCTAAAGATAATGAGACCATCATTATTTTAGCTCAGCAGGCTATAATTCTTACTGTCTTATATATATTTGTAATGACAGGAAGAGTTGGTATAACCCGCAGAGATTGAATGAAGAGATTTTAGAAAATAATATTCGAGGTAGAAATGATCTCACATTATTGTATATGTACTACTGTGTGATTGACTGATATAAGTAGTTGGAAGTTATCTGCACTAAAAAAAATACTTTAATGCTTGTTAGCCAGATCAAAAAGAATGTAAATATTGAATGGTTATATTATTCGACTGGGGTCGTGCTCTCAGAGGAGTACCAAATTTATTTTAGATCAGAAAGTCAAATCAGTGTTCATGCCGCCTGAAATTCTGGTTTCCCTACAGAAAAACGAGATGAATTAGCCATAAGTAAATATTTCTTTGCTCAATCTTTTTGCTTTCTAAATGTTTGAATGTTTGAATCTGGACTGCGCGTATGGATAACTTATGTTCAATCTCACACAAACTCGAAGACTTGCAAGCAGGCGAAAACCACCAAACTGGCTAAAGAAGCAGGCGGTTGAGACAGGACTCCAAATGAGAATAGAGAAATGGCGGTGATGAATATAAGCAACGAACCGCAACTACAACAACAACCAGCACCAATCACTATCAACGGGAGAGATTTAACACAGGTTACCTCCTTCACTTATCTCGGAAGCCCCGTTTCAACCACAGTCAGCATGACGTATTAAAATGTCAAAGTAACTATGGGAAAGGCGCGATACGCATTCATCAACCTGAAACCAGTCTGGAAATCTTCTGTTCAAGTGGAATCCCAATGGGAAACGACGAGTGTGTGGATTGGATCCCAGGTGCTTAATGGTCTAGAGGCTTACTGGCCTTGTAACGAGGAAGTCATGAGTTCGAACTTCAGTGGGCGCATACTGCTGAAGAGTCCCAAAGTAGTTGGATGAAACAGCTGTTTAGAACTCCAAGGTTTTCCAATGGTTCACTAACCGATGTTAGTTCATGATGAAATCCTTTGAGCAATGAAATCCCTGAAAACCAACACTTGAATACCAGATAAATAAATGAACAGTGCTATTTTCAATTAAATCCATCTCATTACTTATCATAATAACAATATACATATAGCTAAACGTATTGAACATCCTGTCCAATGAAAGTAGATAGTGTGTCAGTAATAGATTACACACAATTGAAAATCAGTAATACACTGATGTGGATCGTTTCACGAATAATAACCAGTATAGATCTCTGGAATTAATATCTGTACATTAAAACCTGTCTGATAGACAGACAATTTAAATACCATCACTCTTTGACTTCAGAACAAATCGATTTGTCTTAAAATCAAGGTGGAGTTACATGCTTTCCTTCAAAATCTCCCATAAGCCATATGGATTAATATTAAAGTTTTGATTTGTAGAGATTTCATTCGATTGGTTACAGGATCTCATTATGAACTGATATTGGTTGAAGAACCATTAGAAAACCTGGGAGACAGCTATCTCGCCACCCGAGTTCGCGACTCTCCACAGGACACACCCACTGAGGTTGAGACCCACAACCTTCTGGTTACAAGGAGAGCTCGTAAACTATCCAGTCACTGAGACCCAATCCAACGTTCCATGAATACTTACTTCTCGCAAATCACGATACGGTGCGACCAACTCACACCCAACCTTCTGTACCTCTTGATCCTCGGTTCAAACACCCGGGGGGTGCGTATTGCTACAGAGTCCCAAAGCTTGGACGAGACGGCTGTCCAGTACTTCCAGATTCCCCATTAGTTCTCCAACTGATTTCAATTAATTATGAAACCATGTTGATTAGTAGGTCTACCTTGACGCAAAATCAGCATCAGTTAAATAACCAAGGAGAACTATAAAGACGTTTTACCCTTCTTTGAGACCTAGCACCACTAGGAATTCATCTCACCATGAACAATGTCACCTGTGATTTGCCTATCCTTGCAGCAAGTACTTTACTGTTCAGTAATTCACATTATCCAACCTATGTAGATTAACCATACAAGATGATGAATTCAGCCGTAGAATAAAATAAATTCAGAACTCCATTGTGCTGAAACAGGTCATGAAACTTTAAGGTATATTGTGATATTTTGAAGAATCTTGAAAACAAAAATTATCAAATTCTTCGCAGATGTTAATTAAGACAGACAGCTAGTGTATTTCCTTGAACTTTCACTGATCTATGCAATGAAAGCAATCATTAACTTTTGTCTCTATTAAAACAGTCTACTTATAATAGTATAAAGCTGAACAGTTAACTTTAGATATTGCCATTACAATTACGTCTATCATTGAATCACTACATTCTAATACTTGATAATAGTATGTCTAGAAGTATAGTATATATTGAAAGAATGACGTCTAAGATCTCTTGAAGGGTTTTTCTTTGATAATCATGATTCAGTTAGTCTCTTTCTTGATAAATTCAAAACTAGAGGAGGAAATTTACACTTCATCCATCTACCCATCCATTCAACAAAGACGACAGCAATAATAACCATTTATAGTACAAATTAAGATGAAAGATGTCAAGTCATTATATACTTATGATTTTACTGCTCCCTTCAGTTTCCAGTGCAACATACGGATTCAGCAATACTTCTCCCCTTTGTTCTATTTTTGGCTGTCCTCTTTAGCTGGGTCCACAACTCCGCATAGTCTCAGATCTCCTCCCCACCCTAGGACGACACACTCGTCATTTCACATTGAGATTCCTCTCTAGTGATGGCATGCATTGAGTGTGACGTCATTCGACGGTCTCCTCAGAGTATGCACAATCCATCTCCATTTTCTCCTACATATTTTTCGAACTAAAGGTGTTCTTGGTTGGCTCGTTCCCACCCAGAGTTTCTTGTTGCTGACTCTTTCTACCAATAGTTCTTGAATATAGAACGAAGGCAGCTGTTGATAAAAGTCTGCAATAACCTATTGGGAATTCTCTTCATGGTATGCAGTGCGAGTTTATGACCTGTAAGGAAGAACTGGTTGACTGACTTCACATTTGTGTTGAATATCTGAATATTGTTGTTTGTGCCGACTGTGTGCAGAAAAATTACAAAGTGATTTCAGACTGACGAAGCTTTGTCTTGCCTTTCCGATCCTGCCTGGCTTCGTTCTCCTCATCTATTCTGTGGCCTGTAGTTGAAGAGATGCTTTCTGGATAAGTGAATGAGGTGACCTCTTTCAAGTTTATCCTGCTGATGTTGATTGCTGCTGGTTATTGTTGCTGTTGGTGGTGATGTTGGTTGGTTCTCTTCACCACCTCCGGCTTTTTTATGTTCACCTGGAGTCCTGTCTTCACTGCCAGCTTCTTCTGTCAACTTGTTGGTTTTCTTTTGAAGGTCTTTGCACTTGTGTGACATTGGACACAAATCTTCCTTGAAATCCAGATCTTCTAGAGTCGTCTTAATGGTCCTGCATATTCCTGCATTCCGGCTTCCTACACACAATCTTCCTCACAATTCAGTCCACAACAATAAGGGATATCGTCGGTGATAATAGGCAGCCAGCTTGTCTTACTCCTGTGCTCACTTCGAAGGCTTTGTTGAGATTTCTATTCTGGATCACCTGACACGTTGCTTTGTCATATAACCAGCTGTTGAATGAGGTTGATAAAGACTTGGGCACTTCATGCCATAGTGTTGAAGCAGACTCCAAATTACACTAACGAATGCCTTTTCAAAATCAATGAAATTGAAGTGGAGATTTGACTGTTATTCTGTGCTACGTTCGATGATAACGATGGTGTGTAGAGTTGCAATTTGATGAGCACATGATTTGCTTTTCCTGAATCCACCTTGTTCTGAGGGGATTTAGATTAAATTAACAAATGACATCAGTCACTGAACCACTGAACACCACTCAGTAAATATGCACCATTACACCTTTTCACAATATCTTAATATTCAACAATATCTCCAATTAACCTTAAAGGTTTTCAATTCTATATAAGAATAAACCTTGTGAACTGTATTGTTATTTATTTTTATTATTGTTTCCTTGGGTTCCTAGTGGAACATAGGGCTTCAACTGCAGTTCTCCACTTGCTTCTGTCCTCTGCTGTACTTTTCACCTGCATCCATGTGAGTCCATACTGTTTCAACTCTTCTTCACACGATCTCCTCCATGTCACCCTTGGACGTCCCACTCGCCGCTTCCCTTTCGGGTTCCACTCGAGCATTGGCCTGACGCGCAATGTCACCCAGCAGCCTCCTTAGCGTTAGAGTATAATTCCATTATGGCTTAAAAATTTATTTTGATGAAGTCTCACAGTGTTGTTATACAGTAATATTTACTGATGACAACGTTTCGAGCACAAATTATCACTGCTCCTAATCATATTAAGGTATTGTCCATCGGTTGACTTGATTGGTAGTAGTATTTTCCATATTTCCTTTGTGAGTGATGAGTCATTCCTACTGTACATGTTGCTTGTGGACTCGATGAACAAGGACTCAGTAATGAACCTCTCTGTCCACCTACATAGATTACTTCTTAGAATTCTGACCCTCTCCCATCCTACTGTGTGGTTGTGTGTTGATGCATGCAGTGCAATTGCTAAGCTTTTTTCTAAATTACTTATGTTCTTGGGGTCAACCATTCTTATTCTAGCTAAATTCTTATGTAAGAATTACATAAGATTAACACACAACCACACAACAGGGCGAGAGAGGGTTAAAATTCTAAGCAGTAATCTAGATAGGTGGGGAGAGAGAGATTGATTACTGAATCGTGCCTGGTTCATCGAGTCTACACACCCAACACGTGCAACAGGAATAACTCATCCCTCATACCGGAAATATGGAAAATAGAACTACCAATCAAGAAGTTAGAAAGTTGTGTGAGTAGTGCCTTGATATTGGGATTATGAGCAGTGTATATAAATTGTGCTCGAAACGTTGTCATCAGTAAATATTACTACTGTATAACAACACTATGAGACTTTATCAAAAGAAATTTTATCCATAATGGAATTTTCATTTCTGTCCTTGATGATATCGCCATAGATACGTGCCACTGAAGTGTCCCAAAATACTACAACGAAACAGGTTATTCAACGAATCCGAATCTCCAGCTGACATCAGTCAGTGATCTTACCATTACACTTGAAAGGTAAGATCAAGCTAGAGACTGAAAGAGTTCCCTTGTTCTTGCTGTCATTGTTTTTCACTGTCCCTATACTCCTCTCCATTCATTTGCAATTCAAATTAATCAAAAATGATAAAAATAAAGTCTTAGTTATGGAGACTAGTGTCCATTATTATTATTATTATCACTATTGTTTTGATTGTTATCAATTATGTAATAGCTTAGGGAATATACTTATTAATAATAAAAACAACTTAACACATGTAGGACGAAAGTGGACACCCCCCCCCACGCACCCATACGAACAAACATTGATACATATAAACGTTGCTATGGTTACAACTCCCTATCTATTGAGTTTTTTTGTTTTAAGAAGAATGAACTGAAATCATATCGAGTTTCCATCACATCTTGAAGAAAAACAAAACAAAATAAAAACGAGATAGGATAAGTAAATCAAAATAACTCAATCAACACTTACGCGAACAAATATTTGTGTACTTTTATCACCGAATAGATAACGCCCTTCACCAATACGTGTCATTGGAAAAGTTTGTTTACAAGTACATTGAGAGAGTAATTCTCTTACCTAAGATAAAATAAAGATGAGGGGGGAAAAACAAACAAATAAATAAACGATTGAGTCGTTTAAAGGCTAGCTAAGTAAATAAGTATACAGTGTGAGAATACCAATTTGTTAAAGTGTCTATGATAGAAAGAAATGCCTGAAAAGCTGTACAGAAGAAACGCACACGTATACATGGGCCATTGGATCAGGTCTCAGTAGCCTAATGGTCTACAAGCTAGCTCGCCTTGAAACCAGAAGGTCCTGGGTTAGAACCCTGGTGATGGTGCATACTGATGATAAGTCTCAAACTAGGACGAAACAGTCGTTGAGTACTCCAAGTTGGTTTTCCAATGGTTCTCTAACTGATATCGGCTAATGATGAAATCCTTCAACCAATCAAACTAAAGCCCTACAAAATACCAATACTTGGACATTTATATGACCTTACTGTTCAGCCGTTGAATTACTGCTGTCGAAACTTACTTGGAAAAATCATAGGTAAAACGTTTTTTGCCGGAACATTCTCCGTTCGTTGCATAACTGCATTGTAGGCGAAGGATAAGCTACCGTGTCTGGCCACTTCAGTGTGTACTTATAACTTTAATTGGTCATGTGGAAACAGTTACCTAGATAGAACGACTCAGCAAAATCCGTAGTTGCCTTCTTGAGCACTGTCCAATATGGTTAGGTAAAGAGGGACGTAAAGTCAATCAGAAGTTCCATACTACCACACCTAGTGATGGATACCGAACATAAGATCGATAGTAACTCAGTTTTCATTATTTTATCCAAGATACGTCTTCGGTTGCTGGGCATGACTTAGGCAGTTAACATAAAACGAAATTTTCAACCCAACCTCTGTGTTCAGAAAAAGCTGGTTCAATCTGTCTTTTCCTCCCTTGGCCATCACCTCCAAACAAGAATTGTTATTTCACCCGATGACATGAGATAACTGTAAACATTATTTTATTTTATTTGTATTTGTATTGCTAACTTTATTACTGGAGAAGATTTGTAGTTTAGAGGGATGATTTTGATGTAGTTCTGTTCTCTGAAGTCGATAGTTTATTTGCGAAGCTTTCAATGCCCTACTAGGCAACATCTTCATTGAATACTTCGATTTGACCTCAAAATGAAGTTTGCTTGCTTAAATCGTGTTAAATAATTATGAGTTGATCACGGATTGATATCAGTTAGGGAACCATTGAAAACCAGGGAGAGCTGGAAAGTCAGCTGTTTCATCCTAGTTTGGGAATCATCGGCATTACTCACCCGCCACAGGGGGTTCGAACGCAGGACCTTCGGGTTACAAGTCAAGCTAGCTGGTATACCATTCAGCCACTGGGATCCGATTCAGTGGCCAACCCACGAATTCTCACTTCTAACAGTTCGGGATTTAGCACCACCACCAACCAATGTCATTGGTGGGATATTCATCCTCACACTTGACTGGATGGACCTCACTGGTCACGTCTCATCACTAGAACTCCAGAAAACTCCGTCCTGTAGCAATTCACTAACAAGCATCAGACTTATTTTCAAGAGTTGATCACGGATTGATATCAGTTAGAGAACCATTAGAAACCAACCACCAGCGAGTATTGGACAGCTGTGTCATCCTAGTTTGTGTTGGTGGTCGCACTAAATCACGAATTGGTAAAAGTTAGAATCCATGTGCTTGCCATAGAATCGGTTCAAAGTGGCTGAATGGTATACGAGCGTGCCTGGTAACCGGAAGGTTCTTGGTTCGCGCTCTGGTGGTGAGTGCGCGCTGCCGATAATTCTCAAACTAGAATGAAACAGCTGGCTGCCCAGTACTCCAGTGCTAGTTTTCAATGGTTCTCTAACTGATATCAATCCATGATCAACTCGTAGAAACATAACTAATCCTTATAAACCACCTATAGAAAATTATATAATTATGATTATGGAAATATTTAAATTATATACAATCTGTCCAAGTCTGTGTATAGATAAAATCAAAGGCGCGAGGATCTGAATCCTGCATAACATACTCTGAAAAGCCACGTGGTTTAATAATAATACCATTAGTTTTATTCCAGATAAAATGTCTACAGAATGTTTACACAGAATTCTCGGAGTAATTTATCACGCAACAAACTTTCTCCCCATCCAGATTCTTCAAGGACATCATGTAACACCAAACTATTCCATTTGAAGCATAGACTTATCGCTTATGGCATCTTTCCTTCGTCGTTGACAAATGAGCATTAGTAGTTTGAGAGACAATTCAAAAGGTGCGTATTTTGCGACTCACCGACATTAATGAATGGCTAAGACAATCTGAATTCAGGAAAATATGATGAACTATGACTGACTGGCTGGTTTCAATGGAGCACTTTCCACAGATGTGAAGTAGATTGAGTTCTCACACTCCTTCAGTGTAGTACACACGGGAAGAGAAGGCAGTAAACAGAAGTTCAAAGGAGTGATAATAAATACAAGTGTTAGTGAGAGAAAAAGAAGAGTAATATGGAAGAATAATCGAGTTTTGTTGGAAATGACGCCCGACAAAGAGTAAATGAATCTTCACGCCACTGAGAACCATTTTGAGTCACATCACTAACTGTCCTCAACCACTGGTTTGTAGAATCCCGAGGACCTAAGCTAAACAGTATTCCACACTTCCATACGTGACTCAGACCAACTGTAATGGATTTGATTGGTTTGACTACCACTGGCTCTTTTCCAACCTGATCCTATATGAGCAAACATTTCCCATTGAGAAAGGCAATGGCTAGGCATGCGTAACACATGTCCTAACCACCTCAATCAATTGATGTAATTTCACAATCTCATCGATCGATTTCACCTCCTCTCCTAGCACTCGACCGATGCCTCACCTCAAAATAACTCACCCTCTTATACCAACTAACATGGGAGATAGAGTGGTGACATCTACGTTGAAAGACAGCCAGCCTTTTCACACTTTTCACGTATAATGCCAATTTCTCATAGCTATAAAGCGAGGCAGTGCAAATTGCTGGGCAGTACACATGTCTTTTGACCGATAGCCAGATACCGATAAGGTAAATCATCCTCTGCTGTACTCACTGGAGCCGGAGTCCCCCAAGGTGCAATACTCTCCCCACTTCTCTTTTCTTTCGTTCTACATGACTTACAATCTTCAAATGACATTAGTTTTTTCAAATATGCTGATGACCTGACTGTATCTCTGCCTGTCAAATTTCAAAGCGACTGCTCTAAACTTAATGGCTTTCTGTCAGAAATCAGCCAGTGGTCCAAGGAAAACGGTCTTACCTTAAACCCCTCCAAATGCCAAACAGTCAATTTCACCTTTAGGCATAAACCCGACCTAAACAAACTGGTTGGCTCTCATGAGGTATGCAACATAGACGGCACTGAAATAGAAACCAAATCGGAAATTAAATACCTAGGCGTCATTCTATCTGCTGATCTCTCCTGGTCGTCTAATATCTTATCGATTTCTAGGAAAATATTCCGTCTTACATTCTACATCAAGAAGTTAAAACATTCTGGTATAACCCAAGCCCTACTCCTACAATTCGTTAATTCTCGCTTTCTCCCTATTATTCTCTACTGTTCCTCCTTAGTTTTTCCCGGGCTACTGAAGAAAGACTATAACATATTGCGCAGGATGTTAAACGATGTCAGCAGAGTAAGCAACGTGCCACTTAACTAGCTTGTTAACATTCTGGTCGACAGGCACATGGACTTATGTGAAAAATGGGTCAAATCCATTTTATCTGGCTCACACCACCCTCTTCACTCACAACTCTCCCCTTGCATCTCATCAGGCAAAACCAAAAGCCTATATAGAAAACTATATGCTCGCACCAGCAAGTACAAAAACTCAACCATGCCCTACTTAGCTCGTGTTCTGTGTGATAAAGAAAGCATTAGGCGTGACACCTATAATTCATTAAATAGTCAATAGTAAAACTGGATCTCGTCTTTCCAACTCATATCATTTATAGGTACGACATTTTCTTCCTTTCTTTTCCTTATCTCTCTCTCTCTTTTTTTTTCCGTTATGTGCTGCTTTGTTTCTTTCTCTCGCTTACGCCAGTAAATATGACAGCTCCTACTTTTCTAACACCTTCAAACACTGTTCAACTTTGGCTTTGCTACCGACATGCCAATATGTTATTATCATAATGAACTGTGGTTTCCTTAATCTATGTAGAATTTTATTTATTGATAATGTACTAACTGGATGCAATACTGTAGTAAAAATGCTGAGAATTCCATTCTGTATCACATGTACTGTTTGGGAATAAAGCAAATCATTATTATTATTAATATTATTATTATCAAGTCTACACCAGAGGTGATATAGGTTGACTAATGACACACCAAACTTCAGTATCTGTACTGCGATCTTTTCAGCAAGAATCAACCCATTGCTGCAGTTGAAACTTCCTAAATAAGTGAAGTGTTCAACACGCTGTTAGATCATTTACTTCAAAGGGATGATCCACATAGTGTGAAAATGAGTAACACATATTGTATATTAATTAATGATATAACCGAGTTGTCTCGGTTGAAGTAGGTGGTGATCGGATCAAGACTCAAACCAAGGACCCATTAGTTGAAAGCCAGGTACTTAATCCAATGAGTAACATTCAGACAAATGAAATTGTGCAAACAAACTTAATTGTTCTCATGCAGCCTAACATGATTAATACCAGAAATCGATTCCAACTTATAGCTGTTGAAATATGACAAACGGTTTGCCATCTAACAGTCCTTAAAACCACTCCTATGAATACTAAAATAATCGTGGGAATTTTACCCTGCCTCTCACAGATGAAGAATAAAGTGGACGGAATTTTTGAAGACACATACACGTATACGTTTCCAGTGAATACTTTCACAATAGCATTGAATCGGATAAACTTTAATTTTTACTATAGATATTAGAATATTTATGATATAATTAGTACACAGTAAATATTCTCACGTGAAAATTAATGATTAGTAGTTTATTTCAATAACTAAGGTACAGTACA